CACAAAGATATAGTCCCTGTCCCAGAGGCGCTCATCCTCAGTGACCTTGGCAACCAGTGAGGACAATACAATGGAATAAGTCCCGTTCATGTCCAAACCCCAGAGCCTAGCATGGGGCCCATTAGGTAGTTAGAATGCTCTGTTTGCTAGGACTTGTCACTAGTAACTTCCCTAGCAGGCAGATTCCTTGTTCTCTAGAAGCACAGAGAAGAGGGCAGTGAGCGTGAGAGGAACTGGGGAAGACTTCTCACAGGAGACATTAGTACAGGGTCTTTTTTCCAGGTCTGGAAAACAACAGCTAGCTCTTCTCCGGAAGTGATGTCCCCTGCACTGGCAAGAGGATTCTTAACCGCTGTGCCACCAGGGAAGTCCAACTCCCTTTTATCTTTTAAATGATGCTTAGCCACTTATTGAAAGTGGCTTGGAGGGGGCAAACATGGAAGCAGGAAGGCCTGTAGGGAGGTGACTGCAGAATCTAGGTGGCAGTAGAAATGGAGAGAAGCAGCCAGATTTGATGATATAGCTTGGAGGCAGAATCAACACGTCAACAGTATTGACTAGAGGCAGGAGGAGAAAATAATGACTCTGAGGTTTTTGGTTTGAATGATTGCATGAATGATGAGGAGGGGAAGCCTGTGTAGGAGCAGCAGGCTTGAGCAGTTTTGTGTTTAGAATGTGTGAGGCATCAGGGTGGTTACGTCAAGTTGATAATTGTTTTAAGTCTGGAGTTCAGAAGATAAGCCTGAGCTGAAGACATAAATACATTTGAGAATCAGGGGGATATAGACAGTATTTAAATCATACTCAAAGTACTGGTGTAGAAAGATATTCATAATACATTTTTAAGGCTAAAAAAACAAACAGTAGCAGAACAGTATGTTCGATATAATTCCAAATGTGACAGAAACTATGTTTATATAAGTATGTTGTCTACACACAGAAAATGTCTTAAAGAAAACAGGTATCAGTAATAGTGATCTTTGGGGATTGGTGGGTGGCAAAAAGATATGGAGGCCAATCCCTTTTTATTTATTTATTTATTTAAAAAATATGTATTTATTTGGCTGTGCTGGGTCTTAGTTGCAGCATGTAGGATCTTTAGTTGAGGCATGCGGACTCTTAGTTGCAGCATGTGGGATATAGTTCCCTGACCAGAGATCGAACCTGGGCCCCAGGCATTGGGAGTGCAGAGTCTTAGCCACTGGACCACCAAGGAAGTCCTCCTTTTTATTTATAGCTTCGGTACAGGTTTTATTTTTTCTTTTTTAATAAGAAATTGCTTTTTAGAATTTTTAAATAAATTTTAAATAAATTAAGCTATCCACTAGCCTGTTTGATACTCTAATTGTTAGGGAACCATTGACTGATACCACCCACGTTGGCCAGGCACAATGATAACCACTTGCATGAGTTGTCTCACAACAGGAGTTCCCAATAAGGAACATGGTGCTGCCACCGAAAACTAACCAGGAGAATCTGGGAGGGGCCAAAAGGAGGGAGGAGACGCCAGCCCATAATATTGTCCTACCAAGCTCTCAGAATCCTTTGCACTGGAATCCATCTTGGCTGAGAGATGCACGTGCCACCAGGAAGGACCCTGAGTCAGACCAAATATAGGCCAAGAAAGATGATTGGCCAGAGACAACCCTGAAAACTAACCCCATTACCATGAAACCTGAGACTGCGAGCCACATGGCAGAGCAGTTCTCCTGGGTTCCCTTACCCTGCTGCTCTCCACCCGGGTGCCCCTTCCCAATAATGTCTTTTGCTTCGTCAGTACATGTATCGTCTCAGACAATTCATTTCCGAGTGTTAGACAAGAGCTCACTCTTGGGCCCTGGAAGGGGTCTCCCTTCCCGCAACATAATTAGCAGGCTGTTAGCTGTATGCTTCTGAGGCTCCTTCCCAGCACAGACTCCCACCCCATGGGCATGTTAACACCAGGGTTCCTGGAGTTTTGATGATTTTAACTTAATTTGACAAATATTCATAGAAGATCCCTTTCTGCTAGTTCTACTGAGTCAGGTATGATCAAGACACAGTCCCTGAACTTGAAGAGCTTTTTAACTATTGAGTTTTCAACTGACTACTAAACAAAACGACAAGAGGATGAGCAAAGGACCTTGGAATTGAAAAATTAATTCCGTAGGATCCACTCTGGTAGGCTTCACAAAAGGGGTGACATTTCATTCATTCAATCATGAACTGATCTAAGAGCTTATGAATAGATTGAGAGCTTACCATGTTCCAGACAAAGTCACCAGCCTTGTGGAAATTCCATTCTAGTTCATATTTCAGAGCCCTATATAATAGAAAGAACTTATCCAGCAGAGCTGGAAAGAAGTAAATTCTAGGCAGAGGGAACCAAGGGCTGGAGATGCTAAAGTGCATAGGAGCAACAGGACTGCAGGAGTATTGCCTGGAGGAGCAATAGGTGGGGGGGAGGGGGGGAGGGGGGGACACAAGACTGAAAAGGAGGTTAGGAAACTTAGTGTAAAATTCATGTTGTGAAATTTAGATATTTCCTGAAGGCAACTTAGAGATATTAAATTAATCAGGAAAGTCATTTTAGAGACTACCTTAAGACCAGCGTGTGGAGGATAAAATATACCAGACACTTGGAAACCAGTCAGAAAGATTTTACATGAATCTAAGCAAGAAAGGTAGGGAAATGAAATAAGGTATGGTCTATGAGTATAAAAGGTGGAGACCAGATTTTAGACATCTCAGAAATCCAGTAAGACAGCTTGCACAGGGTGGATGTGGGGACTAAGGGAAAGGGAGAATCAAAGATAACTTACTGTAGGGACTTCCCTGATGGCGCAGTGGTTAAGAATCTGCCTGCCAATGCAGGGGACACCGATTTGAACCCTTCCCTGGTCTGGGAGATCCCACAGGCCGCAGAGCAACAAAGCCCATGCGCCACAACTACTGAACCTGCACTCTAGAGCCCACGAGCCACAATTAGTGAAGCCCGGGCACCTAGAGCCCATGCTCCGCAACAAGAGAAGCCACCGCAAAGAGAAGCCCGCACACTGCAACGAAGAGTAGCCCCCGCTCGCCGCAACTAGAGAAAGCCTGCACACAGAAACGAAGACCCAACACAGCCAAAAATAAATTAAAATAAGTTAAAAAAAAAAGATAACTTACCCCAAAACTCCAGGCTTTAGTTTAGTGGTTATCATTCACTGGGAGGATGAAAACAGGGGATGATCTGAAGAGGAAGAAATTGAGTTCCATTCACACAGTCTAGTTCAGATGGCAGCCGAATCAATACTCAGTAATGGAAGACTTTAGGGAAACAGTTTCAAAAGCCAAATTGCAGAGGGCTGAAAAGTTAGGAGTTTAAGCAGATGGTACACACTACTCTAAAGCAGCTTTGGGACAAATGATGCAAACAGATGGGATGGTTGGGGTGTGACAGAATGAGAGGTCTTCGTAGGTCAAGTGAAATAATATGTTGCCGTGAGAGTGTGGTGGAAGTATTCCTGGGATCCAATGGGTAAAGCGAAGTCAAGAGGACCTCAGACCTAGACCAGTGATTCTCAAACTTGACTGAGCATCAGAATCACCGGAAGGGCTCATTAAACCACAGATTGCCCACTTCGGAGTTTCCTATTCAGTAGCTCTGGGGTGGGGCCCAATAATTTGCATTTCTAACAGGCTCCCAGATGCTGATGCTGCTGACCTGGAGGCCACACTTTAAAGGTTTTTAAAATTTTTAAACCTGGCCTAGAGCAAAGCATTTAGTGGCTGGCAGATGATGAATAATTTCCCAAGTGAATGGATGAGTACTCATATTCAGGAAAGGAGGTCTCCCTGCAATTAAAGACCAGATGGAAGGTAAGTCCACACAGGAGGATGGAAGACGATGGTCAGAGTAGACCTTCAGAGTTTGAATTCAGAGAAGGAGCAATTTTTGGTGGACGAGGTCCAGGATTACCCCTGCCAGGGGGTAAGGAACTGAGAACTGCAAGGTCATCAAAATAGATCACATCTGGCAAAGGCCTGAGTCTAAAGGGAAGCTCCATCAGGAAGTCAAGATCTGAAGGGGAGTCTGGCTACTTTCTCGGTCTGAATTATGTAGAGTTGACTGGATATGCCCACAGACATTGTAACCCATCCAGGTTAATGCACCAATACAGGTAACAAATGTAAGGGAAGCTGGGGACTTTGTGCCAGCTCTGTTTGCACATCCTATAAGTTAAGGTGTGGGCCAGGGCCCAGGCTTTTTGGAGGGAGTTCTAGGGGAGATCACAGTCTGGGGATTTCAGCCCTGGGAGCGAGCAGTTCACCTTAGGTGCTAAGGGAGCAGGACAGACAGGAAGGATGTTGACTCTGGGAGAAATGGCTTGTAGAGAATAAAGTTCCACTAGTTTAGCACGTTTACAGATTAAACACGTCTGCTAACCCTCAGCAATGACTCTGCACCCTTTATAGCTTTCCCTTTACAGCTTTACAGGAGCAACGTTCAGATCACCCCTGTGGGGTATGAGCGTGATTAGGTCATAGATAGGCCTTCAGCTTGTGTTCCCTACAGCCTGCTGGCAATGCCTCTGCCGCTTTATACCTGTGCAACCTACCACAAACTTACCTCCTCCTTCACGCCTCACTTTCCCGCTTGTAAAATGCCAGTAATAACAGGACACCACACAGGGTTATTGTGAAGATTACCTGAGGTAGTTAAGGTAAAGCTCTGGACCCCCACTGAGCACCCTATAAATACTAGTTACGATTTGTTACATTGTCTCTATGGGTCCTTGTCAGTGTCCAAATACGTGCGCGGTCCCCCCTGACTGTTGCGTGCGCTCCTTCCCCTCACCTTTTCCAGCCAGACTGCATTTGGCTGTACTGGCGACGGGCTGGGTTTGTGCGCAATGAGGGTTCCCAGAGAAAAACCCGCGCAACCGTAGTAGGACTTGCAGTGGCGCCTGCCGGCCGCTGGGGGCCGCGGGGGCCGCTGGGGCCGCTGGGGCCGCTGGGTTCGCCCCGCCCCTGAGGGGTCAGAGGTCACCAGACGGCGAAGGAGCGGCTGCGCGTCGCAGATCCCCAGTCCCGGGTAGATGGCGCCGGCGGAGCGGTGTCCTGTTTGCCGCCAGACCTTCTTCTGCGGCCGCGGGCACGTCTACAGTCGCAAGCACCAGCGGCAGCTGAAGGTGGCTTTGGAGCGGCTTCTGCCTCAGGTGCGGACGGGAGGCTGGAGGAAACCCTGGACAGGACGGGGCGGGAATGCGGGCGGGGCTGTGAGGGCCCGAGGGGGTGGGATCTGGGGGTCCCGCCGGGGTCCTACTTAGTCTCTTCCCCTTGGTACCCTCTCCGCGGCAGGTGGAGGCCGCCCGCAAGGCCGTCCGCGCCGCTCAGGTGGAGCGTTACGTGCCCGAGCACGAGCGGTGCTGCTGGTGCCTGTGCTGCGGCTGTGAGGTGAGGAAACACCTGAGCCACGGAAACCTGACCGTGCTGCATGGGGGGCTGCTGGAGCATCTGGCCAGGTGAGCGCCGGGCCGGGAGCTGCATACAACAGTCGTGTACATTTGTGGGAGGGAGGGTTTAGGGTGGGTGAGAGGAAGAACGCTTTTGTGATTTGATTGAGTCATCTTGTAGGCATAGCCAGCCTTGAGGATAGCGGGCTTACGGCTGCCGTGGTCCCACTGGTGTTGGTGGTCTAGCAGGGAAAGTCAGCTGGGCAGCTGGCTCAATCAAGGTTCCCTCCCATCACTTCCTCTCAGATTCTCACATTTTCATTGGAAGGGGGAGACTGGAGATCTTGAAGAGACTACTATCAATATTCTCTCAGCCTTGCCCAGAGACAGAAACCCAGATGTCAGTTTGCATTATTTATCTAATGCCTAGATATCTGTGTAATATTCTGCAATCTATCTTTGAGATTCCTTGTCCTTTCCATTCTCAGTCCAGAGCACAAGAAAGCAACCAACAGATTCTGGTGGGAGAACAAGGCTGAGTTCCAGATGAAAGAGAAGTTTTTGATCTCCCCCCAGGATTATGCTCGGTAAGTCACTACTCCGCATGATGAATGATGATAAGTAGCTATAGCAGAGTGTGGATCCTCTGGGCCTGTGTCAGGTACTGGAGCTTCCTCTACTGCTTGAGAAGTTTAGTAAGGACGTCATTAGTAACCGTTGTCTTAGTAGCACTCATTATCCTAGGCACCATATTGGACACAAAAGAAATATGACAGAGTCCTTGAAAGGTTTATAATCTAGTTTGGGGCGGGGGGATTTACAATGTATTTAGCAAATAGAGAATAGTGTATAATTAAAGCTGACCACAATCAACTAATTAAACGTATGACACAGGGCTTCTCTGGTGGCGCAGTGGTTGAGAGTCCGCCTGCTGATGCAGGGGACACGGGTTCGTGCCCCGGTCCGGGAAGATCCCACATGCTGTGGAGCGGCTAGGCCCATGAGCCATGGCCGCTGAGCCTGCGCGTCCGGAGCCTGTGCTCCGCAACGGGAGAGGCCACGACAGTGAGAGGCCCGCGTACCGCAAAAAAAAAAAAAAATATGACACAGAAACTACTAAGGTTCTTTAGGAGCAGAACATGCTTTTTATAGTGTGCAAGAAACTGGTGCTCACCCAGTGCCCACTTTTAATAGTTTTAGACTCTATTTTAACTGGCCTCGGAGGACCCCAAGGAACCAGAGTACAGGAAGCCGGACAGCACAGAGAGGGAGTGAGCCCTGACTGCCTCAGGAAGAGGACTCAGGCAGCCTCACATCATCACTTTTATTGGGACCATATTGAGATTGTGGAGTGTGGAACCCAAGGGGATTCCCAAAGCCAAAGTTAAGAAAACACATGGTGTTTGTTATTTCTTTCTACCCAATGTGGAGAATAATGAGGAAATAAGAAATGCCTAAATCCCACCACCTTGCCTTAAAATCTGTGGTTCAGACTGGGAGGAGATAAGAAACTGAGGCCACTCACTCCTCACACCCTGGCTCAGCTCCATATGGTTTTTGGTGGATGAATAAAGGATAGTTGAGCAGCAAAGGTTATAATTGAGAATTATGAGGATGGACTCTTTGAACTTTTTATTTAAATATAGTTTGACTTTATAAATTTCAAGCTCACACAAGACAAGGCCAGGCTAAGCCTGACTGATTTGACCAGTAAAGATACAATGAGCCACTTTTATTATTTTTTTTCATTTTTTTTTTAATAAAAAAATTTATTTTTGGCTGCGTCTGGTCTTTGTTGCTGCGCACGGACTTTCTCTAGTTGCGACAAGTGGGGGCTACCGTTCATTGCGGTGCATGCGCGGGCTTCTCATTGTAGTGGCTTCTCTTGTTGTGGAGCACAGGCTTTAGGTATGCAGGCTTCAGTAGCTGTGGCTCGCAGGCTCTAGAGCACAGGCTCAGTAGTTGTGGCGCACAGGCTTAGTTGCTCCGCGGCATGTGGGATCTTCCCAGACCAGGGCTCAAACCCGTGTCCACTGCATTGGCAGGCGGATTCTTAACCACTGCGCCACCAGGGAAGCCCTAATCATTATTTTTAAAGATTAGTCTTTTTATTTGGCTGCATCGGGTCTTAGTGCCGGCATGCAGGATCTTCATTGCAGCATGCAGGCTTCTCTCTAGTTCTGGTGCGTGCAGGCTCCAGAGCACGTGGGCTCTCTAGTTGTGGCACGTATGGGCTCAGTAGTTGCAGCGTGTGGGCTTAGTTGCCCTGTGGCATGTGGGATCTTAGTTCCCCGACCAGGGATCAAACCCAAGTCCCCTGCATTGGAAGGGGGATTCTTAACCACTGGACCACCAGGAAAGTCCCACAGTGAGCTACTTTTACATTCAGACAGTTTGTTACACAGGCAGTGAAAAGAGTAAGCCCAAAGTGCCAGCTTCCCAGGTTGTCCAACACACCAAAAAGGACCTTACTGATACAAATAGGGCTGGGTGACTGCAGTGTGAGCTGTGCAATACTTTTGCTGGGGAGCCAAGTCTAGACTGCAGCTACGTACTTTGATATCTACAGCTCAAATCTCAGAGCACAAAGTCCCATACCTCATCAGAACTGGGAGTTGATGAGAAACTGTTTCATAATGGTCTCCCATGAGAGATAGGGAGACGAGTGGGAGATGGCCTCCTAGCAGTTCTTTCAGGCCTCCTGTCCTCTTGTGTTCCAGGAAGATCACACAGACCTTCAGCCAAAACTCTGATTAAGCTGCAGTTCAAGGCTTTGCCTGTAAGGATACATGCAAGGCTACCAGGGCACCTTGACAGAGCCATTCCCCTACATAAATGTTTTACATATTAAAATTAGGCAAAAAGGCTATAAGCTCGTGTGTGGTGGCGGAGTCGGCAGAGTAGTCAGCAGCGGCTGCAGCAAGAGTTTGGCGACATGTCTCACACCATTTTGCTGGTACAGCCTACCAAGAGGCCAGAAGGCAGAACTTATGCTATGAATCTGAATGAATGCACAGAAGGTGTTTGCATAATGTATGAAGAACATCTGAAGAGAGAGAATCCCAACAACCCCTTTACCACATGATTATCAGTTATTTGATTTTACTGATGACCTGGAAGACCTCAGCTGCCTTGTTTACCGAGCTGATACCCAGACATACCAGCCTTATAACAAAGACTGGATTAAAGAGATCTATACGCTCCTTCATCAACAGGCCGGGAAATAGTTGAGTTTGGAAGCGTTAGGGGGACGGGGGTGGGCTTGGAACACAGGTGTATACAGAGTGCTGTAGAGGAGGTTTTTATTATAGTAAATCCAGTTTCCATCTTGGTATACGCTAGCCAGGGTTGAATGTATTAGATGAAATGTGAGGATCTTGTTCAATCTGAAACCCCTTTTGCCCCCTTCTCCACCTCCCTTTTTAACTTAAAACATTTTTATGATGATTTAGATGGAAGTTGGTTTTTGTCAGTTACTGTTGGTTCCAGTCCTTCAAACTGTTCGTATCTGAACATTCACTGTACTAAATAACCCTTCTTCAAATCGGGGTGGGGGGTGGTGACGCAGTTTAGTTATGTCCTCAAGACAAAGTCTTAGTGAAAAACAAAGAAATGTCCTTTAGTTATATTTTCAAAAAATAATAAAATTAGGCAAACAAAGACACATATTAATTATATATCAATTGATAACGATGAAAGAATAAGAATTCAAGTAACATTTGAACACAAAAATCTGACTACACCCTTAGAAGGTTTTCTGAGGACTAATGAACTGCAAAGAAACCTTGAGCTTTGCTTAGTAGTTTTATTGTTGATAGCAGCATTGATGTTATTCGGATACCTTTGTATTGTAGGATAAAAACAACTGCAAATATATTGTCCCAAATATGGGACAATTTGGACATCAAGAAAGGGAAATTGATTTTCTTAAGTATGGTAATGGTTTCATAGGCTGTTCCTGTTCCCAGGAGATGTATGCTGAAAAATTTAGAATTAAGTCTCATGTTCTTGGCAGAAGGGAAATGTTTATAAGCGAACTGGAGCCAGTATGGCAAAATGTTTACAGTGAATCTGGGGGAGAGGTACATGGGTGTTCATTGTACTATTTTGTTTCTGGGAGTTTGACACTACCCAAAATTCAGAGAAAAATGATCTACTGTGGATCTTTTCACAACTGACTGGGACTTGCCCTTTTTCTTTTTAGATTCAAGAAGTCCATGGTGAAAAGTCTGGATTCCTATGAGGAAAAAGAGGATGAAGTGATTAAAGAGGTGAGTTAAAGGAAAGGCCTCTGAAGGACCCAGCCCCGCCCACCATTTTGTACCTATCTAAGCAGCCTCTCTCCCACAGATGGCAGCTCAGATCCGTGAGGTGGAGCACAGCCGGCAGGAGGTGGTTCGGTCTGTCTTAGAGGTTGGTTTCCCTCGGAGGAGCCAGAGCAGTATCCAAATCCACTGATTCCTGCTTCTCCCAGGTCCAACATTTCATCTACCAGCTCTTTTGAGAATTCATGGACTCCATGCTTTATCTGCTCGGCTTGAATTCCCTTACCTGCCCACCAGGGGGCAGGCCTTTGTCAGTGGAGACGATGTGGGCCAGGCTGGGTGGGTGGGAGGGAGGGAGGGAAGTTTGCAAGATATGGGCAGTACCCTCAATATGTCAATTTGTTTACTTCTGGAGGGTGGGAGCATGGCCTAGGCAAATTCTTAAGCATCCTAGACACATTTATTTTTCCTGAATCAAACTCAGCCTCAGACAGTGCCAGACCCAGAAGAGGGCTCTTCGGCACCTGGAAGCTGGAAAGGGACAAATAGGTAAGACTGTTAGGAAACCTCTTATTGGGAGTTCTGACATCTTTTAGAACATTCTGTAACTTTGGCTGGGAAAAGGGAACAAATCTCATCTTTGCTATCCTCATGGTTCAAGGACCTTGTCTGCCAGCCTGGCTCCTGTTTGTCTTTTTCAGCCAAGTAGCCTCCACCTCACAGCAGCCTTCATATGTGGACCTGCCACCAGCCCCAGAGCTTGACTGGATGGAGACAGGACAACCCCTGACATTCATTGGCCATCAGGTACAATGGATACAAAAGTTGGGAAAGGGACATTCATTGGCCATCATCAGGTACAATGGATACGAAAGTTGGGAAAGGGACATTCTTGGCCATCAGACCTGCCACCAGCCCCAGAGCTTGACTGGATGGAGACAGGACAACCCCTGACATTCATTGGCCATCAGGTACAATGGATACAAAAGTTGGGAAAGGGACATTCATTGGCCATCATCAGGTACAATGGATACGAAAGTTGGGAAAGGGACATTCATTGGCCATCATCAGGTACAATGGATACGAAAGTTGGGAAAGGGACATTCACTGGCCATCATCAGGTACAATGGATACGAAAGTTGGGAAAGGGACATTCATTGGCCATCATCAGGTACAATGGATACGAAAGTTGGGAAAGGGCCAATGCCCCCAGTTCCCAGGACACCCATTTCTCCTGGCTGTTCTGTGTATTCTGGCCATTCCTGTCTTAGCAGGCTTTTCCCTCTTGCTGCCCTGTCCCATAGTATCATGTTCTTAGACTTTTTTGTCACCCTCCATGGTGATCTTATCCACACATTGCCCCAACTGCCACGTAGAAGTACCAACTCCTAAACCTCATCCTGTGCAGAATCCACAGTTCCAGCTCAATATGGGACATTTATAGATACCCCACAGGTACCTGAAGCTGACCCATACCACTCCTGTTTCCATTAACTGTAGATGCAGATTCTTATCTCCTCCTTTCTTTCATTTTTCACATTCCCTCAATGAGTATGTCTTATCTATTTTACCTCCTGAATACAAGCTGGTCTCTATTCCACCTTGGAACAATTCCTACTACTGCAATCTTGTCCCAAACACAACAAAAAATAATCCCATCACCTGCTATCTTACATTCCTCCAGCTGCACTGTGCTCCTCCTTGCTTTTGAACATGTAACTGCCATTGTCTTAAATGATATGCTTTCCTTCTCTCATCATCTACTTAACCCTCACCTTCCTTCAGCTCTTAGCTTGAATGTCACTTTTTCATGGAAAACTTATAAATGTATGTAGCCCCATGTAAAAAGCTGTGAATGTAATTTGTGTAATTCATACTTCTCTTTCCCAGTAGTATGTATGCTCTCTAAGAAAAGGGTTTCGTTTACCTACCATCTAGTAGGCACTTATTTTTGGACATCTCTGCTACTAAGACCTTGAGTCTGGTGAGGGCAAGACTGTCTTTCAGTGATTTGCTGTGCTCTGTTAAGATTTAACATCAACCCAGTGCAGAACTAGCATCATGGCAGTGGTTCCATCCACCTCCTGTAAAATTTCTTCCTCTAGGCTATGAGTATCCTATCATCTCTTGGCTTTCTTCTGATTTTTTCCCATTTCCAACTACAGGACACACCAGGAATTGGTAACATCCACTCAGGTAAGACCCACAGCAATGTTTCTCAAACTGTAAGAAGCTTTTTTTTTTTTTTTAAAGAATAAAGTTGATTAAGATACAGCATTGTCAGTGAACTTGGGATCTTTGAGACACACCTGAGTTCTAGGCCTTTCACTAGTAGAAGGGTATGAAGACACATATGTCAAATGTGTCTGAGTAACTCAGGAAAGTAACAGATGTACACTCACCTATTTACCGGATTTTTTTTTTTAAACTTTCAGATCTAAGGTGTTTTAAACTTAGAAAATGTCAGACATGGTAATTCTTTTAAGGGTTTTTGTTCAACCACTACATTAGTGTGTGTTAAAGTGTTTTTTAAAATAATACACTTAATAGTGAAAATAAAGAGTATAAACAACAAGGTCCTACTGTATAGCAGAGAACTATATTTAATATCCTGTGATAAACTATTATGGGAAAGAATATGAAAAAGAATACATATATAACTGAGTCACTTTGCTGTACAGCAGAAATTAACACAACATTGTAAATCAACTATACTTCAATAAAATAAATTAAAAAAATAAAACTCGTTGCAATTAAGGGCCAGAGAAGTCTCTATACTGTACACAGTGCCCACCATGGCATTAGCCATGCTACAGCCACTGGTCTCCTTCTACTTCAACTAAGGGAAAAAATACTTTGCTTGAAAAATGGAAGATTACAAACGTTAGCATAACAAACTTAACATTTTTCCAAAGTAAAGCAGCACCTGATAAAGGATGTGTATTCTCAATATATGAAAACCTCTCAACACTCAATAAAGGCATATAAAAAGATGCTCATCAAAATGGCTAAAACTAGGACTTCCCTGGTGGTCCAGTGGTTAAGGCTCCGCACTCTCAATGCAGGGAGCACGGATTTAATCCCTGGTCAGGGAAAAATACCACATGCCACATGGCGTGGCCAAAAAATTAAAAAAGGCTAAAGACTGACCATTTATATATGCAGGAACTCTCATACACTGCTGGTGGGAATGCAAAATGGCATATCTACTTTGGAAAACAGTTTAGCAGTTTCTTTACAAGTTGAAAAAAATCCCAATGTGCCTCAGCCAATGAACACTTCAAAAAATAATAACAAAGAAGGAACGACTGAAAACACGCGTAACACAAAAACCTCAAAGTAACTATGCTAAAAGGTACACAAGGGTACACAATATATTCCATTTATACAAAATTACAGAAAATGCAAACTAACCTATGGCAACAGAAAGCACATGAGTGGCTGCCTGGGAAAAGGGGTATAAGGGAAGTGTGCTAGAAAATATTTTAAAGGGGCACAAGGATACATGGTGGTGATTTCATCCCAAACATTTCAAATTGTACACTTCAAATGTGTGTAGTTTGTCATGCCTCAATACAGCTACTAAGTATCAGCACCTTTTAAATTAGCCTAGGCCCCTCAACTTCCCATGGTCCAGAATTCCTGGGTTTTGTTTACAAACATTTATAATTTTCAATTAGGTAGGAACTTATAGCTAGCTATGGTCCACAACAGCCTGAAAGTTAAAAACTTTTTTTTAAGTGCTTTCATTTCTGCTTAAAGGGTCTTCCTTTTCCAGGTGCCACACCTCCCTGGATGGTCCAAGATGAGGACTATAGCTCTGCGAACCAACAAATAGGACCCTCCTATGAAGAGTTTCTCAAAGAAAGTAAGTTAATTCAGAAATGGTGATGGGTTCTTTAAGTCTTCCTACTCAAATAAAACTGCTTATTGTAGAGGAAAAACAGAAATTGAAGAAACTCCCACCAGACAGAGTTGGGGCCAACTTTGATCATAACTCCAGTACCGGTGCAGGCTGGCTGCCCTCTTTTGGCCGGGTCTGGAATAATGGACGCCGCTGGCAATCCAGGTATGGGCCCAGTGTCAGGACCCCAACCCACTCCCCCTTGGAGATCTCACCCTTCCTCCTGCTAACCCTTCATTTCCTTTCAGGCATCAATTCAAAACTGAAGCCGCAGCAAGAAAAAAACAACAGTTACATAAAAAAAAAAGTTAATGGTTTCCTAATACATTTTCAAGCACCATAATACTCAAAGCCAAATCAACAAGCCGATACTTTGTAACTGCCTTTCTTAGGAAACAGACATGCCCACTTATTTGATTTAATAAAGTTTTATTTTTCCAAATATACAGCTGGTGGGACCTGTAAAAAAAAAAAAATTCAAGAATCAGAACTATAGAGCCTTGTGAAGGGATGCATACTTCCTACACCGTGAACCCCTGGGTTCTTGCTCACCTGTTCATGCATCTTCACCAGTAGCTGGAGCATCTCCACCCTTAGTATTTCTGGTGTAAATTACTTGAGCTCTGTGCTTTGAAACCAATTTAATAAGTCCTAGAAAGAAAGTATAATATTTTCACACAATAGTACTATGAAATACTTATTAAGACATGAGAAATATGTTTTATATTCCATCCCAAAAGAGAAATGCTGAATTTAAGCATAAGTTTAGGAGGCATGCCTACATTTCTTGGTTATAATCTAATTTGACTTACCCTTTTAAAACAAGGGACTCACCACCTGTCCTGGTGTGGCCACCTTCACAGCACTTTACTATAACTTGAAAATCACTGTTTCCGTTATTGGGCACTAACCAATAACCTAGATAACTTGTTAGAATTACATTACTAACAACCACCTATTGCATTTAAGATGGCTAGCACAGTCAGGCCAATTTAAGGTGCAAAAGCATACAAATCAGTACAACACACCCCTCTCACCTTTACTAAGCAGCTCCTGCAAGGCTGCCCTGGCCAGGGAGCCACGAATCTTCAGTCTCTCAGAGACGACAGCTGGAGTTATAAGCTTATAGTTGGGAACTTCTTTACAGAGTTTGTCATATGTTGCTTTGTCAAACAAGACTAGGTTATTGAGCTTGTCCCGAACTTTGCCTTTGGACCACTTCTGCTCACCCAAAAAAAAAAAAAAAAAAAATCAGTGCTCCAGTTCTTCCCTCCTCTGGAACAACCTGCCTCAAAGAATTGTTACTTGGTTGTACGGCTATACTGAGAGAGTGGCTCTATTCCTTGGCCTGCAGAGATCTATGAAATGCAGAATTTACAGAAACTCCGCAAATTAAGATTCAAATAATTAGAAAGCCAGAATTCAAAGCAAAAAGAGACCCTGGTTGTGGTTAAGGGCATCAAAGACACATCTGGTTGGGGGCGGGGGGGGGAACCTATTATTGAGACTTTCGGATACTGACTGAGCCCCACGGAACCAACTGAAATAACACTATGTGCCGCGTATCAAAATAAATGCTCTGTACACATCTGTCTAATTTCCAAACAGCATATGACTCCATTCTCCAAATAACGAAAAAACAGAATGATGATAAGAACATAAGCTGTAATAACCTGACTCTAGACCCCACAACCTTACAAGCCATCTGCTAGGTGTCACTTAACATATCGATAAGGGACGGGTGCCCGCAGCCTCCCTCAACGTTCAAGCGACCGACTCCTACCTTCTTTTTGGCCTTGCCCCCAGATTTGTTCACTGGGTCTTTGTCTTTCTTGGCTGACTTTCCGGCATCTTTCTTCTTCTTGTCATCCTTGGGCGGCTACAGAAGAAAAGCGGGAATACTGCCAGGTCTCAAGGCAGCCCCACGCTCCCCCTGCGCTCCATCCCACACCCCGCCCAGACTCCACTGACGGAGCACATGGGGGAAGCAATAGCCCGCCCGCCTCGACACACGGCCCGGCAGTTCTGGAAGCCCTCCTCCGATGCCGCCCCAAATGCGCGCCAGAACCGCCGGCTCCCGATACCACGCCGGCTGTCCCCGAACAGAGCTCTCACCATAGCGAAGCCCGGAGAGCAACTGCTACCACCTCGCCTCCCTAAGATGTCGGACAAAAAGGAAGTGCGTCTGGCGAAGAAGCCCAGAAACCTCCGCCTGCGGCGAGTGCTTCCGGGGCAAGGGGCGGGACCGCGCGGAGGAGGTTCGGAGGCGCAGGCCTGGCTCAGGTCCGGAACTGGCTGCGGGTAGTGCGAGCTCACCCTGCAGCCGGAGGCACCCGAGGCTGCCCCTACCTTTTGCGCTTTGCGGCTAGTTGTGAGGCAGTCACACGTTGCTGTCTCCTGACACTAAAAACCTGGGAAAAGGGACGGAAAACAATTTTCTAGATCCCTACAGCTAACTTCCCAGCGTTACTGACAGCCATGCATGCTCCAAGTGCGCAAGCGCCGCAGCGGGCCGCGCTCCGGGGTCGAGAGGGAACGCGCGGCCGGGGCGCCGGGGGCAGGTCCTGTGCTGTGGTTCCGGGGCGGGGCCGGGAGGGGGAGGCAGTCCCGCAGTAGCGGCGGCAGCAATGGCGATTTTCAGTGTGTTTGTGGTGAACAAAGCTGGAGGCCTCATTTACCAGTTGGACAGCTACGCGCCACGGGCCGAGGCTGAGAAAACTTTCAGTTACCCGCTTGATCTGCTGCTCAAACTGCATGACGAGCGTGTGCTGGTTGCCTTCGGCCAGCGCGACGGCATCCGGGGTGGGTTAGGCTAGGGCCTGGGGGGCGGGGCCCGGTGCTGCAGTTGTGGGCTGGTGTCTCTGGGCGGGGGGCGGAGGGGGTTTACTAAGCAGCTCCTGCAAGGCTGCCCTGGCCAGGGAGCCACGAATCTTCAGTCTCTCAGAGACGACAGCTGGAGTTATAAGCTTATAGTTGGGAACTTCTTTACAGAGTTTGTCATATGTTGCTTTGTCAAACAAGACTAGGTTATTGAGCTTGTCCCGAACTTTGCCTTTGGACCACTTCTGCTCACCCAAAAAAAAAAAAAAAAAAATCAGTGCTCCAGTTCTTCCCTCCTCTGGAACAACCTGCCTCAAAGAATTGTTACTTGGTTGTACGGCTATACTGAGAGAGTGGCTCTATTCCTTGGCCTGCAGAGATCTATGAAATGCAGAATTTACAGAAACTCCGCAAATTAAGATTCAAATAATTAGAAAGCCAGAATTCAAAGCAAAAAGAGACCCTGGTTGTGGTTAAGGGCATCAAAGACACATCTGGTTGGGGGCGGGGGGGGGAACCTATTATTGAGACTTTCGGATACTGACTGAGCCCCACGGAACCAACTGAAATAACACTATGTGCCGCGTATCAAAATAAATGCTCTGTACACATCTGTCTAATTTCCAAACAGCATATGACTCCATTCTCCAAATAACGAAAAAACAGAATGATGATAAGAACATAAGCTGTAATAACCTGACTCTAGACCCCACAACCTTACAAGCCATCTGCTAGGTGTCACTTAACATATCGATAAGGGACGGGTGCCCGCAGCCTCCCTCAACGTTCAAGCGACCGACTCCTACCTTCTTTTTGGCCTTGCCCCCAGATTTGTTCACTGGGTCTTTGTCTTTCTTGGCTGACTTTCCGGCATCTTTCTTCTTCTTGTCATCCTTGGGCGGCTACAGAAGAAAAGCGGGAATACTGCCAGGTCTCAAGGCAGCCCCACGCTCCCCCTGCGCTCCATCCCACACCCCGCCCAGACTCCACTGACGGAGCACATGGGGGAAGCAATAGCCCGCCCGCCTCGACACACGGCCCGGCAGTTCTGGAAGCCCTCCTCCGATGCCGCCCCAAATGCGCGCCAGAACCGCCGGCTCCCGATACCACGCCGGCTGTCCCCGAACAGAGCTCTCACCATAGCGAAGCCCGGAGAGCAACTGCTACCACCTCGCCTCCCTAAGATGTCGGACAAAAAGGAAGTGCGTCTGGCGAAGAAGCCCAGAAACCTCCGCCTGCGGCGAGTGCTTCCGGGGCAAGGGGCGGGACCGCGCGGAGGAGGTTCGGAGGCGCAGGCCTGGCTCAGGTCCGGAACTGGCTGCGGGTAGTGCGAGCTCACCCTGCAGCCGGAGGCACCCGAGGCTGCCCCTACCTTTTGCGCTTTGCGGCTAGTTGTGAGGCAGTCACACGTTGCTGTCTCCTGACACTAAAAACCTGGGAAAAGGGACGGAAAACAATTTTCTAGATCCCTACAGCTAACTTCCCAGCGTTACTGACAGCCATGCATGCTCCAAGTGCGCAAGCGCCGCAGCGGGCCGCGCTCCGGGGTCGAGAGGGAACGCGCGGCCGGGGCGCCGGGGGCAGGTCCTGTGCTGTGGTTCCGGGGCGGGGCCGGGAGGGGGAGGCAGTCCCGCAGTAGCGGCGGCAGCAATGGCGATTTTCAGTGTGTTTGTGGTGAACAAAGCTGGAGGCCTCATTTACCAGTTGGACAGCTACGCGCCACGGGCCGAGGCTGAGAAAACTTTCAGTTACCCGCTTGATCTGCTGCTCAAACTGCATGACGAGCGTGTGCTGGTTGCCTTCGGCCAGCGCGACGGCATCCGGGGTGGGTTAGGCTAGGGCCTGGGGGGCGGGGCCCGGTGCTGCAGTTGTGGGCTGGTGTCTCTGGGCGGGGGGCGGAGGGGGTGAGGAGTTGGGGCCGGGTCCATTGTCGCCTTGGCGGGATCCCCAAGCTGAGGCTTCGTTGACGCTTAGCCTCGGCTCTGCAGTGGGCCACGCAGTGCTGGCCATCAATGGTGTGGATGTGAGCGGCAAGTACACGGCCGATGGGAAAGAGGTGCTGGAGTACCTGGGCAACCCTGCTAACTACCCGGTGTCCATTCGATTCGGCCGGCCTCGCCTCACCTCCAATGAGAAGCTCATGCTGGCCTCCATGTTCCACTCGTAAGTCTCACAACCCTTCCTAGATTTTGTCGGTCTGCACTTGGCCCATAGGCTGGCTGGATTAGTGTGGTTCTGCGCTCAGAGACTTTCTGAGCGGCGGTGCTTACCTTCCTCCTTCCAAATCGTCAGTTCTTGTGTCATGAAAAGAGCTGATCCAGTATGACTAGGCTGTAGGTAATGCTGGCAGTGGTGTGATTTTGTTTGCTTAAGTCACCGTCTCTTTTCTGAGTCTTAAGTTTCTTCATCTTTAAAGTAAGGCATTTGAGTTAAATGATCTTTAAGATCTTTTCTTGCTGTCAATTATGGTATGAGATGTGCTGGATATGCATAGTCACGGGGTGAGTAAACGTGGCACATAGTCCCAGAGTGTTAATTTCACCCAAAGTTTTCAGTGTACAATGTTTTGTAGCAAAGTATGAATGTAAAATACATGGAGAATTCAAATAAATTTTTAAGAAATTTTGATACTGCTGCCAGGCAGTTCACACTGCTGCTTCTGACTATCTCAAGTTGTAATTTGAACTTTTCAGAAGATCAAGGGTCATTTCAGCGGAAAAGTTCGAGAAGCACTTCTCCCTTATAGCAATGAGGTGCATTCCCAACTTTTCCTCCTTTGCAAATAGGCTGTTCGCAATCGGCTCCCAGCTGTCTCCTGAACAGGGCAGCTCAGGCATTGAGATGCTGGAGACAGACACATTCAAACTGCACTGCTTCCAGACATTGACAGGTACGCATCTCTAGATAGATCAAGGGGATGAGATGGGGCAGGTTGGGAGAAGGGATTGGCCCAAGTTGGGTTTGGTAAGCAAGGGAGTGTTGGTTAGCCTTTTTTGGGACAACTGCACAGACAGTTATTTGTTTTGTGAATCTAAAGCCAATATTTAATCTGATGCCAGTTTTGTCCATGCCACTGAGCGTGCTCAGCCTTGGTTATCCTGTCCACAGATAAACTCACTTTTTCCTTTTTTTTTTTTTTTTTTTTTT